TTGGCGAAGAGTGAAGGTTCGACGTCAGGTAGAAGTCCGACGTCTGTTGGTGGCAAAGGAGAATTCCGGCTTCACTTGGGTAGAGTTTCGGCGTCAGGAGGGAACTCTGTTGTAAATTGGGAAGAATTTCAGCATCACGTGGAAGTTGGGAAGAATTCCTGCGTTCTCCCGAATATCACGCAGAATCTTGGCATGTTCGGGCGGCAGGAAGAGCTCCGGCGGTGGTCGAGGAGGAGAGGATTCGCCTTTTCCGCTTTTCCTTCTTCTTCTCTCTCTTCCCTTCCGTCCCCTTTGGGTAGAATAAGGGCTCTATTTATATTTTTTATGGAGTGGCACAGCCCGTAAATAGGCGTGAGATCATGGATGAATTGGGAGTGGTTTGAATGGACGACCGATATTGAATCCTTTGATCATGCACCGTTCGTTGGACATTTGAAGGCCTTAATGATGTTGGAATTCGGTGATCTTGGGCTCTTTGGATTCCTCTCGTCGAGTCGTTCGATTCGAGTATAAGCTCGTTAAAATCGGAGACCGTTTGGTAACTTAAATTGCGGTTTGAACATTCCAACAGCGCTTCGGGTCCTTGATTCGGACTCATTTGGGCTCAGATTGGGTCGAATTTGGTGTCGTTGGGTTCATATTTCCAAGACGCTCAGTTTGACTGTAAGTTTGCTAAAATTGGAGTTATGATGGCCTCTGATTTAATTTTAGAAGTTTCCAACTCAATTCTGCATCGAGATTCGTGCCCGATCAAGATAATTTTTTGACGATGTATCAATATGCATGTTGTATTTGGATATCATTTGGTCACCCAATTAATATTTTGAAGCTTTCAAATTTTCTTCAAACTATTGATTTGGGCTTATTTGGGCTCGGATTAGACAAATTTTGGTGTCATTGAGTTTGCATCATCTAGACATTCAGTTTAACTATAAATTTGTCAAATTTGGAGTTCGGATGGGCCCAAATTTATTTTGGAAAATTTCTAATTCAAATATGCCTTGATAATCGTGTTCGATTAATACTATTTTTGGTGACTTATCAATGCTGACAGTTTGCTCTTCTATAAAGGAAAATCTACGATGACATGAAGGTGCTAAAGAAGAAGCCAAATGCCTTTTTTTTTTGGTCTCTTTGGTTACATTTGATAAAATTGGAACTGTATAGAGAAGGTTATTATGGCCCTTGCATAAGTTGACATGCACTTGGCTTCTCTCCAGCTTCAAATGAGCTGTTCTACATCCACCACCATCACAGGGGCGGATCCAGCTTCTTTTTTGAGGGTGGGCAAAAAAAAATTTTTGGGTGGGGGATGGGCAAAAATGCTTAGGATTGATAAAATGAGGGCAAAAATTTTTTTTGAGAGGGGGCAAAATACCTAAAATATCCAAAATATTCTAAACTATACCCTTTAAAATTAAAAAAAAAATTTTTTGAGGGGGGGCATTTGCCCCCCCTCAAGTGAATGGGGATCCGCCCATGCACCATCATAACACCAAGGGTTGTAAACAAGTTGAGTCGAGTTCGAGTTATCTCTAATTTGAGGTTGATTAACTAATTGAGTTCCAGCTCGAGCTTTACTCTACGAGTTTGAGTTCACTCATGAGCCAACTAGTTTATTATGCAAGAGAGAAAATGACTATGATTTAAACCAGGGGTGTCAATATTTGATACGACACGAAAACCCGACCTAAACCCGACTTGAAAATTTCGAGTTGGACAAACGGGTCGGGTTCGGGTTTTCGGATTCGACCCGTTAGAAAAAATGTCCAAAATTCTTCATAAATTGTATTTATTTTACAATTTATTTAAAATTCTTTTGAAATTTAAATAGGTACAGCCCAACATTTCCTTAATAATAATGGTTGAGATTCCTTAGAGGTGTAAAAAGTCAGAGTTTGGCTCGAGTCATCTCTAATTTGAGCTTAAGCTGTATTAAGGCTTTGTTTGTGACAACTTTCTTATTGTTTTCTAAATCAGTTTTTTAGTACAAAAAATATATTAAAAAAAAATTGTTCTAGAAAGCTGCTTTAAAAAGTAGTAAAAAAATTGTCCCAAACAAAACCTAATTAATCAAGTTTAAGCTTGAGCTTGAGTTTTATTCTATAAGTTCGAGCTAACTCACTAGCCGACTTGTTTATCATGAAAGAAAAAAGAATAAATATGATTCAATCAATTATTAAAATAACATTAAAAAATGAATGAGAAATAAAAAAAAATAATTAATGAATAATCACTTAATATATAAAGGTGATATATATTTTTAAAATATTTTTTATAGCTTCCTATTTAAAATCTTGAATTCTAATACATTTGAAGTGTGTTTTATAATAAAAATTTTTAAATGAATTGGTCACAACTCACGAGCTAATGAGTCGATTCAGGCTTAACTCAAGTTTGGCTCATTAGCTCATCCTTTTTTGCTCATGAGCCATTTATTGAGTTGAGCTTGAGCCCACTCACGAGTCGGCTCGACTCACTTGTCATAGTGCCATGGCAAGCAAGAATCACTAATTTAGGTGGTTCTTATGCTTCTGGTGGCTTGCTTTGTGGGGTTTGCCTGTTTGTTTGGTGGTTCTTTAGCTTTTTTTCTCTTATTTTGGTGGTTCTTATGCTCCTTTCTACATTTTTTGCTTATTTGCTTTTCTTTGGAGATTTTTCTTACCTGTAGTTTTGGATTATGGATTTGGTCTTTGGATTCAGTTTTGGATGGCATGATTTTTTTTTCCTTTCTGGTGTTCATGATCATGTTTCTTCATGGTGTTATTTTGTGGAGGTTCTCCTGTTGCTAAGGTTCTTATGTTGTTTTGTAGAGTTTTTTTCTTCTTGACTAGGTTGTAATGTTTATTTGGGATTTAGCTCTTTTTTGGGTGGTGGCATCTTGTTGACTCGTAGGGTTTCTCTGCTTCATTTATTTTGTAATTTAGCTAAGATCTTAAGCTCATAGGTTTCTTTTTAATCTTGGATGTAGCTCTTCGAGCATTATTGGATCTAGATCCCCTTAAGGACTTGTAACAAAATTTTAAATTAACGCATATGCGACTATATTAGTTTTAACAAAAAAAAAAATTTTTTTTTGAAAATATAAAAGGAATTATCAATTGCTTATGCTCTTGCTTTGGATCAAATTCATTTATTTAAATCTTATATTTAATGTTAAATAATAATAATAAAAGTATCTTTTATTATGTTTTTTATTTTAAATAAAGTGAAAAACTATTTTCAAGTTTTAATTTTAGTAGTTTATTTTAAAATCACACACAAATTTTCTCTTCCCCCATCCCCCTCTTAGGTGTAACTTGCACTTCAGTTTGAATTGTCTAACCCGAAGGGCTTCCTCAAAGAGGACTTCCAAGCATAGTTAAAAGTTCAGGTTAGATGGTCATGGCATAGATTTATGTATGAATGCAACATCTAGGGTTACGATTAGTCCTTGATGTATAGAATTTTAAGGTTACATTTGGAATTGATAAGAAAAGTAAAAATTTTAATAACCATTTTGGGTTGGGCCAATTGTAACATGAGCTCTACAATGTCCCCATTAAACATGATAAATTTAATATTAAAAAAAAAAAATTTTCTTAATTTATAAATAAAAATTTACATTATATAATTATTTTTGTAAAAGATAAAAATACTATTTTATAAAATATGATCAAGAAGTAAAGCGCAATATATGAACAATATAACTTTTACATCCCATACTAAAATTTGAGGATAATTACATATGACATTTTTTAACTTGTTTAATTGCACGTGCATAAAGTGCACTACCGTGATAATTTTTTTAAATTAGTAATAGTACATTTATAATTTAAAATTAACCAAAATTTTGACTTTTGAAATATTTATTTATTTTATATATCAGCTACAAATTGAATGTAAAGGTATAATAATGCTAAAAAATGCCAACTAATTACATAAACAAGTATTGAAATAAGATGGGAATGACTCCAAGGTTTTCCTAATTTGCAATAGTCATCCAAGATTTAACTCTAATACCATGATAAAGATAGTTAGGTGACTACCCATGAAAATATAAAGATGATAAGGAAAGATACATTATTATTCAAAGGATAATATTGAATCCCTTTTTTGTTATAGGAAAATTTACCCACCTTAAGCAAAAAAAAATGAATCCATAAATCCTATAAATAGGGTCTTTATGTAGTTCAATGATCATACATTTCATAAAGAGTTAGCACTTATATATCCATTTCTGCCTTATCTTACATTCAAAGAATGGTGATTGAAATTCTTCTTATGTTTGTTCCTTTCGGAAAAATTTTTTTTCACTAGAGATTGATCTCCTGTCTCTCCTTGTTTCAGGGTGAGGAGCTTCTTAGGCTTTATTTGAGATGACTTTTTACTGCTTCTTATAGCAGTTTCCTAGTAAAAAAATTTAATTTTTGTACTAAAAAGTTATTTTATGAAACAGTAAGAAAGTCGTCTCAAACGAATCCTTAGTCCTAGCTAGTGCTAACAACTTGTCACCCCAAAAAAAATCTCTTACGATGATCAACGTTTCAAGATCTCAAGATATCCCAAATTTTTCTATAATGATATCAAATCTCTGAAGATGTTGACGCCTTAGATTCAACAATCTACTTCATGGATCTTTAGTTGAAGCATTGTGACAGCGAAAACAAGAAGTATTGAGAAGAAGCTATATTTCATTAAAGCTTTTGTAAACTTCATAAGGTTTCATGGGACATTTTTCTTATTGCTTCTTAAAACAGCTTTTTAGTAAAAAAGTTAAAGTTTTTTACTAGAAAATTGCTTTAAGAAGCATGAAAAAAACTGTCACAAACGAAGTCTAAATCATATATAGTGATCCTTTAGAGTAGAGGGCTTAGCTTCTTTGGGTTTTTGTAAATGGCCTCATTTAGACTTTGGTTACATTTAATCCCAATTTTCCTTTTTTATCTTTGAATTCTTTTCCTTTGTGACTAAGAAATTTCTGTCGTATATAAATTATCTTGGGCCGGAAGAAAGTGATCTAAATAAATTTCTGTCGTACATTGAAAAAAATTTCCAAAGGCAATACTTTTGCCTTCCTTAAGGCCACAATAAAATCAAAATACAGAGCTATAGCCAGCCAAATCTCCCAATTCAACAAATTATCAACCCCTTCTCTACCAAAAAAAGTTATTATATTAACATACTAGATTTAAGCTTCATTTGGTACGACTTTCTTACTGCTTTCTAAAACAGTTTTATAGCACAAAAAATTGTTGAATTTGAAATTTTTTGTACTAAAAAACCGTTTTAAAATGCATACAAAAACTGCCCAAAGGAAGTCTTATGTGCGTGAAAAGAGTTGTTCTATTATTGAACATGAAGCTTTCCAAATAAGCCAACTTATTTTCTAAACTCAAAATCTTAAACGTTTCAGATTCTAACTATCAGATCACCAAATTCTCCAAGCGTGATCAGCTCATCCTGCCACTCCCAATCCAAACCCAAAACGGCCAAATCTCCTCTAGTTTCAGAAGATAGAAGCATGGATTCCATGGGAAAAACCTGCTCAGTACTTTCTTCTAATTGTAAAGGAAATACCGTTGGCTGATCTGACGACGGTGCTTGGAAGCTTGAAATAGAGAGCTCATGGGAGCTGTAGGAAGAAGAAGCAGTAGTACTACTGGTACTGTTCATAATGGCCGAGGAATCCATGACGAAGGGGTTCTCCTGAGTCTCTATGGGCTTGCAGGTATGGTGCATGCAATAGCTGACCTTATAAATTGGACTATTGGGGACTTTATCTTCCTTTTGTTGAATAGTCTTGGTTGCCTGGCAACCTTGGTCTTTGTTGTGAGTGCATTTGTAGTAGCTTCTGCAAAAAATAATAAAAAAAAATTTAAAATCTTAAAAAATGACAATTTTTATTGCATGCTTCATATTTTGTTAAGACAAAAAAAATTATAAATTTACTTGGAGGTTTGCTAGGACAAAACAAATTTATTAAAAAATTATAAATTTACTTGGAGGTTTGTTAGGACAAAAATTTTTTTATTAAAAAACTTAACAAACCGACAATTTTTATTACATACTGCATAATTTATTAGCATTGATGAAACGTGTGTGCAAAAAATATTTCTTGTCATAAAATCAACTGATGTTTATAGATTTTTTTTTGTAAATATTATTTATAGAATTTTTGCATATCCATTGATTGCATGCAAAATATAATTTTCTCTTTTCATAAAATCAAAATATTTTTTTGATTATATTATTTGATTGATTGTGATTATAAATATAAGTAAATTTCTCTAAGATAGAAATATAAGTACTAATTTTCGAATTTATAATTCTTTCATATAAATTAAAATTTATTTTTAAAAAATCAATTACTAAAAAAAATTAAATCAAGCCTTAATTGCTTGCCTTGGAAAATCTGAGTTGTGAATGCGCTTCTGCCCATATTTCCGCCATTGATGGCCATCAAAGTGAGGCACAGAGGTCATAATCGTCCACGACTGCACCCTCTTCCTACAGATTCATTTCAGCAAGTAAATAAATAGAACAAAACGAAAAAAAAATGTTTGAATTTGATTGAATGAATTTATGATTTAAAAATATAGACGTTGACTTCACCATTGTCTGAGAATACTGAGTGAAAAAGACAGAGGAAGAAAAGAATTAAGAACATTTTATATTTGGATGAACAGTATATACCTTTTCTTATGATCAGTATCATTCTTTCTGTCTTCGACGGCGACAGTGGGAGAGATGGGTTGGAGGTCGGAGAGAGCGGCGGTGATGCAGCGAAGAGCCTTATCAAGGAGGCCGATGGCCAGCGTTTTGTCGGTTGGTTTGGCCGGAGAAGATGCGAGGAAGAGGGCGCGGAGCTGAGTCAGGCCCTCGAAACCTTGGCTGAGGTTGTCGATGGCGGTGGAAGAGTGATTGTAAGGTGTTTCCTCCATTAATATGTAAAGAAAAGATAGTGGCTGAAGGAGCTTGCAGAAAGATGGAGACTTAGCTCTTTTGTTTGTAGACTATCAACGCTTTGCTTGTGTTTATATAGATAGCTACGATTACACGTAACCGCGGGAGACTATGAGACTAAAATCATTTAAGGTTGGATATAAATCATTGCATATAAAATATTTTTACACTTACTTGAACTCATGTAAAGAAACGCTATGGCTTTCTCATTTTCTCAAGGGTTGAAAGTTTTATTTTAAAAAAAGATTACAAATTTAAATTAAAATATTTGCAAATTTTTTGCTTAAAATTAGAAAAGGTTAAATGGCCACAAATATTATTTACAAAAAAAAAAAAAAACATTTGCATATATGAACTCATGCCATTTCGAGTTTGTTTAGAACAATTTTTGTGATGCCTGACTTTTTAGACAACAATCATAATTTCTTTTGGCTAGTGCTTGTTGTTTCTCATTGCTTTTCAGAAATTTCAACAATGGAAAGTTGTTTTGTAGAATCAGAGTAACTAAGAACTCGTTTGGGAGGGCTATCTTACAACTTCTTAAAGCAGTTTTTTAGTGCAAAAAATTTTTAAACTAAAAAATGATTTTACGAGAAAGCTGCTTTGGAGAGCAATAAAAAGTTGTCTCAAATGAAGCCTAAGTGAATGTTTATTGTTTTGATTTTTAGATCACAATCATTTTTTTTTTTGCTGCTTGTTTCTCATTGTTTTAAAAAAATTTTACGCTGGGAAGCAACTTCAAAAGTTATTTTTCTTACAACTGTTTTACAATCATCTTCATAAAAAACTGCAGCTGTCCTAAACAGATTTAAATAATTCTTTTCATAACAACTTCACAACCAATTTTATAAATTGATACAGCTAGTCATCCCAAACAGACCATCAGTTCTCATCTACATTTTGGAGATTTCATAAGACAACAAAACATAAAGCTTTCGATCATTCTACATAAGAAAATAAAATAATTAGTTATATGAACTTCTAAATTTATATATTTATAAAATAAATACTCAAATATTTCTATGTACATACAAGGTTTGCATATTTCCTCATATTATATAATTCTTCAATGATTTTTTTTGTGATGCAACTCGTTGCAAAAAAAAAAAGAAGAAGATATTGACTCTTTTATTTATTTTTTAAGTAAGTTGCAACAAAAAATAATAAATTAAAATACAGTAAGTCACAGAATTAATATGTAAAATATGCTGATTTAACAATACAATAATATTTTCATAATATACCGCATGCGTAAATATTTATAAGCACAGGCGGCTCTTTCAGTAAATGAAGAGCTATTTAGCCCCACGGTACAAAATTTTTTATTATGTAATTTACATATGAAGACAAATTTTCATTCGAAATATTATAAAAAAAAGCTGGCCTTATAGATCCAAAGGACTGTTCAGGGCGTGATATATGAACAGCATTGAGGGGGACAACCGCGGGGTCGATGATATAACGTGTAGGGAGATGGCAAAATGGGTATTTGCTTTCTTAATAAGATTGTGAGGTGTGAGTGTACTAAGGGTTACATGAAAAAAATCTGTGCGATATCGGCTAGCCTAATTGCTAAATGTGTCAATAGTTTGAAATCAAATTTTTTTTTATTAAATATGTACAAACATATTTAGTATTTATAAAACTTTAAATAAAAATAAACTTTGTTTTTTGAACTTTCTAACAAAATAAATTAATTTGAGTAATTAAATGAATAGTGATCAATATTAAAGGTGTAATTTGAAATGTCGCCTAAAGAATTTATTCAATCACTATGGTTCATATGTTTGTTGTTGAAGTTATGATTGATGTAACTCATATTTACGGTGCAACATCACATTTGTAAGGGTTTGTTTGGGATGACTGAGCTTTTTATAAAAGTGATTATAAAATTGTTGGGAAGAAAATAACTTTTTTGAAAGTTGTTTGTAAGTATCTTGGAAGGGGTGTTAATATTTTACGCAACACGAAAATCTGACTCGAAATTTCTGGGTTAAAATCATCCCGTTTGAAAAATGGGTTGGCTTCTAGTCTCGGGTTCTTACTAGTTTGAGTTTTTGGGTTGGGTTCAGGTCAACTCAATAACCTGAAAGGAATCCAAAGTTAACCTGTACCCGCACCTCAATCAGGCTTGCTTGCATCGCCGCATTGTGTACGCTCCCGCGCTGCGCTCGCTTCACATGTGCTTACCTACTGAGCCCGCTTGACTTGCTTGTTGTGCCAGCTTAAAGGTCTTAGACATCTTGAGCACATATTTGACACAAGTTCCATCAACATTTATAGGGGATAACATATAATTTTGTATAATACACCACCTATAGTAACACATATTTAATACAAAAACACTACCATCATGGTACATTCAAGAATTGAAATTGTGAGTTTATAAGTACTGCAACATGGAGTTCCTGACCTAGCTCACCAACTCACTCCTCACTCAAAAAGAACCACGAAATGTCAATAAACCTACCCTCTCATTTATACATTCTTTACTCAAATACATATTCACCATTAATTTAATGCATGTAATCCCTATTCCTCCTCTATTAATGCACCACACTATTTAGCACAAGAAGCACAACATTCTAATATGCTATAATGGCATGCCTTAAATCCATTTGAATAGCACAAGAATTTATTGATGTTGGACTCATATACCTTCTTACTTCCACTCTACATTGATTGAAGTGACAACAACCTCATTTGATAGACACCTCATGAGGTACTAAAATGGTGAAATCATTAATTAGTCTTTCAAGATTCAATGAAGATTTTCCATGATGTCTTGATGATCAGAGTGCCCTCATTATTTTTCCCCCTTTCACTACAGGAAAAACACTGATTTCCGACAGAATTTTCCGGCGACTTTCCGGCGGTCACATTTCCGGCGGCTTTCCGGCGCGTTTCCGGTGCGTTTTCGGCGGCTTTCTCTCACGAAATTTTCCGGCGGAATTACCGGCGGCTTTTTCACTTTTCCGGCAGAATTTAAAAATTTATTGAAAATGAATAAATTTTTTACTATTTAAATGATTTAACTAAAAATCATTAAAACTTTTTTTTTTTAATTTGACCGGCGGTTTTAGACCGCCAGAATAATTTGCGCCGGAAAAAACCGCCTGAATTTATTTTCCTGCGCCGTTTTTTCTGGCGGCAACCCAATCGCCGGAAAATCGCCGGAACACTACAAAACCGCCGGAAAAGGTTCAGTTTCCGCCGGAAAAAGCTGCCGGAAATGAGCGATTTTCCTGTAGTGTTTTCATCATAATTATTGTAATTACTTGCATATTTACTTTTGTCGAATGTGTGACCCTTTTCTTCTGAAATTTAATCACATCTTCATTTCTTTCTTCTACACGCCCTCGACAAATTAAGCTCGGACATACTCCATATGATCACCATTATACTAAAAAGTTGACATAATGGACAAATTATAACACTATTGAGAAGAACCGCATTTCTAGTTGTCTTAAGATTGAATGCAAGTAATATAGTTGCAACAAAATAAAAATTTTGTCAGCCTACAATTTTATTGGGGAAAATCCTGCCAGTAAAATTAAAATGATCATCAAATCATTGTAACAAGCATCTTGCTCAATCAAAATAACTTGATTATTATTTATTGTAATGCTTTAACTCTATCTCCCCTAATAATTATTGGCACTACTCTAGCCTTTTGTATCTCATATGCCATGATAGGGCCTGTTCATTACATTATTCATCAACAAGTACTATTCTAAGGCACCATTTAAGCTCAACTTGTGACACCTCCAATTAAATTCATCATTCAATTTAATCTGTTTTGACTTGAATCAAAAGAGCTAATTGTTTGAATTCTGCATTTTGAACCCTTTTGCATGTGCTTGAGAGTGTTTAGTAGGAATGCGAGAGTTTGCATCTATTTTAGAGTGGGTCCTAGGGGTTTATTTGTATGTTTGTGAAATCTGAATTTTTCCACATGGGATGTCATAGGGCTATGTTCGGAAGTGCCCCGGGAGAATTGAGTTTTAAAAAATATGTAATTAATTTAGTGCTCCAGCGCGTGGCGGTTGTGGCAGTGATGTGAGTGTTCTGAAGAGCGTTGTGTCCAACGCCAAGTAGCATCGCAATGCTAGAACAAAATTCAATATTTTAAATATATTCTCCAATATTCGTTCGATTCATTTCAATTTGGGCAACCATGTCTAGTGAGAGAGAGGATTTTTTGAGAGAGACTGTTTTAATCCCTTCGGCTCTTTTTTTTTTGCTTCTGACCCAATTTTGAAAATTGGTTGGAACAAGGTAGGTCATGTTTTGCCTTAGTTTTAAAAAATACGAAGACTTCCCAAGTTTTCTGATTAAATTAACATTTTCATTGCCAAAAAGCAAGATTAATTTTGCATTCATAAAATTTTCACTGTGCAACTTTCTTTATATTGTAGAGACATCAGTTCCTAACAATTAGGTATTTATTTTGAAATTTTGCACTTGGGATTTCCTGATTTATGCTATTTTAATTGAATAAAAATAACACAGGACTCTAAAAAATAAGGATGTAGTACAATTAAAGTTTTGCAATAATGTTCCGTATAATGTTTGATAATTTGATTATTTTTTGAAATATAAATTTATGCGCAGTAGAATTTTTTGTTGCCTATTGTTATAACAAATTATGAATTCTTATGATGAGATCGGCTATACTTAAATTATTGCAACACAATAAAACATGTGTTTGAATGACCGAATTATGTGATTTTGAAGAGCTTTGATCTAAAAGTTTTTCTCTTGGGAGTTATAAGGGGCCAAAATTTTATCTGTTTGTGTATTTATTTCTGATATTATTATTTTAAAATTTTGATAACTATATTTATTTCTTTACTCAATCATGTGGTTTATTATATTACTTTTAATATTTAGTAAATAAGATTAGAAAATTTAGATCAATTTAAATGTGACCGGTTGAGTTATGTAGCTCATAGATTTTTTATTTCCTATTTTCAGGGTATGGGAATGGTAAAGAGCCAATTGATTAGTAGTTTAGGATCTGATATGAGTCTGCATATATATATATTATGCTCT